TGTGTGTGTGTGTGTGTAGGTATATATATCTTATATATCACAATACCACATACAATATTTAAAAAATCATATTTGTTTACATCACCATCAATCTCATCAGAAAAGTCGAAGAATTGATAACCACCAAGCTCATGATGGCATATACATGTTTTCTAAAATCTAATTTTTGCCTGAAATCTCCTATTTCATTATTGGCAACAAATGCTTTCAGTTGTATTCCTTGAAGTGACAGGTTTACTTTGTTCATTTTTGAGAAAATATCTGCCAAATATATAAGTCTGAATAAGCCTCGTTTGTCAATCGTTCTTTCAAGTAAAAATGATACTCCCTGAAAAAAACTGCTAGCTCGGCTCAGAACTTAATCACACATCTTACCCCAGTATGAAATAGGAGTTCTTTATGCATACTTCTTGTTTTGTCACACAGAATATTAAAAAGATATATAACGAGGGTCGAGATGTATCCAAATTAATTTTTACTGTTTCATTAAGGATAGCCTTAAGTGAAACTGACTTTTCTTTTTAAGCTGTGAGTACCTATTAGTGAATACAATGATTACCAGGACAGTTTAGTGCTGCTGCCTGGACTTGTAATAAAGCTCCAGCAATTTTAATCATTATTGCTTTTGCACCATCAATTCAAATGGAAAAAGAATCTAAAAAGCAAATAGCATCTTAGCATTACAATGAAATAGCTTCAACCTGATAGACCTGCCGCAGGGTCTTGAGGATCCCTAGGGATCTGTGCACCAAACTTTAAGAATATCTGGCTGAAAACATCACATTTAAAAGGATTCTGAAGAAATGCAAAATCCATCAGGGGGTTGAGACTAACATATCATGTATATTATAGAACAAGGGCCCACTTAATGGGGCTTAATTGATCACATTTATTACTGGTCTCCTCTGGAAGCAGAGTATAAGCAGCTGACAGGACAGGGCATGAGAAAGAATCTTCAGTAGTAGCCACATAAAAACCAGCAAAACTTTGGAGCATGGACTCAGTGAGGGGAAGGAGAGGCTTAGATAGGTATATACTTAAAATTTAATTTACACAAAAGCCAAAAGGTAAAGTTAAAGAAAGGAAGAAAAAGGTTCTGTATCCTAAGCAGAATTATCATCTCAGATCCACTTCATCTCACTCACCTACCCACCAATTTCCTCATCAAAAAAGTGAGTAGAAAATTAATGCCAGTAACTAGGGGGGAGGCAGCCAGTGCCTATCAAAACAACTTTCATACAGCACTTCCTTCAGAGCTGGACACACAGATATTCTCCAGCTTTGCTTCTGGACTGTGGAGTCCACACACCCACAGCATCCTAAATGGCACAGGAGATAAACTGGGGGCTTCGTAGCAAGGCCAAATGTCACACACCCTGTTGGCAATATAAGAAGTGTCCTATTCAATGTCCTTGCTAAAACCAAAAACACTGTCCCTTTGTAGATTTCCAGGTTTGTAGTTTTGTCAACTAATTTTAATTTAGCTTTGACCCTAGATTTAGCATCTAGAAATAGAGGTGTCTACTGGCAGAAGGATGTTATATGGGCTTCACTCTCTTTTTAAAAGTGTGTGCCTCTGAGCATCAACAATGCATTGTTTATTTATTTTCATTGACCTAGGAATTCTGTCTCTGGGAATCTATTACTAATTCTAGTTATAGGCAAACATCCAGCCACATGCTATTTATAGCAGAGGAACAAATTACAGGGCAAGGTCAAGTATAGTCCAGCTGCTTGATTAATTAGAAGCAGCCATTATACATGACTGAGTATGCAACATACAAAAAAGCTTATGACAAATTTTTTAAAAACCCGAAGAGATTGCTACAATATAAAAGATTAGAAAAAATAGAGAAAAATATATCAATAGTGGTTGATAGTAAAAAAGTAAACCATGGAATGCTTTTCTAATTTTATTTATCAAATGTTTATGGAGTACCAAGCCACACAGTGTTCTAGAGCATTGACATACATCGATGACCAAAGACCCCTGCCCTCGTGGAACTTATATTATGACAGAGGGAGAGAAATGAATACATATTATGTCAAGTATATAGTTTGTTTGGAAGTACTAAATACTAAGAAAAGAGAAGCATTTTGAGGAAATGGGTTGACAATGTTCCAATGTCACCTTCTCTGCAGGGCCTGTCCTGACTTTTCCCAGATATGCGCTTGATTAGCCCTTATCAGCAAGTCTGTGCAGAATCAATAAGGTATTCCAGGCAGAGAAAGCAGCTAGGGCAAGGCTCGAGGCTGGGAGTGTGCTGGTGTGCTCAAAGCACAGCAAAGAGGTCAATGTGGTGAAGGCAGAGTGAGAGAAGGGGCAGGCGGAAGCAGAGATCAGAGGGCCAATGGGGCCAATGACATAAGCCCATGTAGCCCATTGTACAGACCATGGCTTCCGCTGAGTGTAAAAAGAGATGTAGGTTCACTACTGAAAAAATTTTCAATGCCCATTCAGAGAAGTAGAAGTTGTATACAAGTCATGACTGGTAGATTGTGTGGACAGCCCCTACCATCCTTGGATCTTGAGAGCTGCTTCTGCTGACTGCTATTGCTCTTCTACTTCATGGAAGGGAGCTACGCAGGGCCACCTAAAGTGGCGCAGAGGTAACACTTCCCAGACCAGAGGCGTGTCTGTGGACAAGGGTACCTCAGAGGCTGCATTCCACCCCTAGAATCTTAAAGTGTCCACCAGTCTCAGCAGGTCTGAATCTCGAGTCTGCTTGGGGTGGAGGATGACTCACGAGTGAAGCAGCACCTTTACTTACCGCTCTCACTCCACAGCTTTGTCTTTTGTGCTGTCAGGTCATTGGCCATCTGAGTCGTCTCGTTTAGTTTTGCATTTGCTTCATTCAAGTGCTCTTCGTACAGACTACAGAGCTTCTCAGCATTAGCCTACAAGTTGAGAAAGAAGGGCAGGTCATGGCTCAGAGAAGCTATGCTGAATTAGCTGCACAAGAAAGGAGGGGATAGGTGGCTCCTAAACACACGTGCTCTCTTCCGTTGAAAAGACCACAGCCAGCATTGGGAAATGATGTCTTCTAATTTAAGCAAGTACAATCAACTCTAGGGCCTGGGTCCCTAAGAGGCCTAAACTTCGCAGACTGTAAGTATCAGAGGAGTAACCTAACTTCCTGAGTATTAGGCCCCTTCCACAATTCTTTGGTCTTCTGGAGAAGGAAACATGTAAAATGTTAATGAGGTACATGATCATTACCTGATATATATTTAACTGTCTTTTTCTCCCACTAGAATATAATTTTCATAAGGGTAGAGATTCTGTTTGATCACAGATATACCCCTAGTGTCTAAAATAGTGCCTAGCACATAATAGAAGCTCAATAAACAAGGGTGGAAGTACAGAGGGAAGGAAGGAGAAGATGGAGGGAAGGAGGAGGAAGGAAATCTAGAAGGCTGCCCAAGTAGGATAGGAGAAAGTATTAATAGATGGATCAGAGCTGCAATAGCCTAATATCAGAAATTTGAAGCAACTGTATCCTCCTGATTACTGTGGCTGCAGGCTCAAGATAATCCTGTTGGGTTAATACTTCAATTACAAACTCCAAATTTTCAGAATTGGCTTTTCATGTTTGGAGAAAAAGATATGGCATTGGCCTTTGCACTTATACCTGATTTAGGTAACCAATCTAATCACCAGATTCTTGCCACACTCTGGAAACTCTCAAGTGATACAGCGGCCCATGAGACCTTTGTCTCCACAAAGAAAGTGTGCTGTGGAAAAGGAAGAATAAGGAGACAAAGGGATTATACCAATGGCATTTTGAGAAAATGGTGAGACCAGGTAAAATGGTGAAAGCTGGTGATAAGCCTAGTAATTTCAATGTCAAACTAATTATTATGATGTAGCAACGGCCCAAAACCAGGAACATTTAGAAGGTGATGACAGGTTTAGTCATGTGGAAAACATCTGAATCAGCAAAAACTTTAGCCATCTCTAGTTTGAGCCTATGCTCTGTTCAACATTGTTTTCCTCAAGCTTACCAGTGACTATTCTAAATTCTTTATAAAAACTACTAAATTATGTCTTCTTACAATAGGTTGGTGCAAAAGTAATGTGGTTTTAGCATTGTTGAAATTTGCCGTTTGATACTGGAATACATTCTCAAATAAATGTGGTTATGTTATAATTTTAATGCACATTTCTGGCTTTATTTTTTT